AAAAAGTTTTTACTCGCGACCTGATTTTTTCAAAGATCTCCTAGAAAAGCTGTTTTAGAAAACACTTCTGAAAAAGTTTCTGCTTATGAAAACATGCCCCCAAGTCTCCGCTTTCTTATGGGGAAAGCCGAAGCTCTCTAGCTGGCTTCTATCAAAAGTTATTGAAAAAACAACGGAGTGCATTCTGTTTTGGTACAGACAGTAGTAGGGTTACTGGCAACAGTTAAATGCCTGTTATTTATCTGACCGTTTTTTGACATTTAAAAAAATGTGAAATAAATGTATTTAAACGTTCCCAATTATAATGGCAAAAAACGGTCTGAGAACAAATGTCATGAAAAATTCCATTTAAATGTTTATTAATAGCGTGTGAAATGGCATTTAATTGGCAATTAATTACACCGTTTTCGACGTTCCGGTGACTTAAACTGGGTCAAATGTCATAAAAAATTTCATTTAAATGTTTATTAATAGCGTATGAAATGGCATTTAATTGCCAATTAAATGCCATTTCATACGCTATTAATAAACATTTAAATGGAAACGAATAAATCGAATTAGTACGTTCGTATAAGTTAAGTAAGAAAACTCGTTTTATCTCTTAGAGTCATATTTAACGGGATCTAACCCATCCTATCTCTGGAGAAACGTTATCACACGCTATATTTGTAAATTTAACCGCCCATCAAAAGCATTTTTTCTGAAAAAAAGTTGTCTAACATGTGCTAACGTGCGTTAGAGTATCAGAAAAATATTTCATGGGATTCTATTACACAGAAAAACAATATGTTTAATATTCAGCGATACGTCTGAAGGGGGAGGAAGTTATTAGAGTTTATTTGATGATGTTTGATATTTAAATTTTCTGGCCTTCGATAAGTTTGGTTTTTTCAATTCATTTTTTTTCTTAGTGTGTCTTTCATCTACTCAGTCACTAAATGAAGTTCAACAGAAACAAAGACGTTTCAAATTCTTATTTTTCAAAAACATTAACATGTGAGTATACTTTTTTTATTCTGTCTATCTATATACTCATAAATTTCTGCATTTAATAGTTTTAACAAAAAGATCGTTTAACTGTGTGTGTGTGTGTGTGTCTATATATTGACTGAAATATGTTTCAATACTTTTTTTTGTATACACTTGATAGTAGCTTAAAAATTCGGCGTCGGCTGATCATTTTTTCTACTAGTCAATCTGTATCTCTTTTTTTTTATTCTAATCTACGGATGAACGATTCACTTCAAATGAAAAATATATTATACATGTCTTCTGTATTTTTTTGACGATAGTTTCATATATAACGATATTTATACAGTAGTTATCTGCAGTGTACAGAGTAGTGAGTATGTCCTTTCTTTAACAAAGATTATTTAGATTTATTTTATTTTGTCTACTGTTTTAGGACAACATTTTCTATAATGACGGACGTAAAGAATCCAGACAATGTTGAAATTCATAGTGGAAAAGATATGTTGAATGTTAATGATGATGCACTCTCTCAAAAATTACATCTGGTCAATAATGCAATTGATGAAATTGGATTTACTTCGTATCAATTAAAACTTTTCTTTCTCAATGGATTTGGTTATGGTGTTGATTCTCTTTTACTTTTACTTAGCGCTCTTGTACAACCTCAAGTTATACTTCAATATCAACCAAGTGTTAGTAAAGCTCAAACAATCGCCTTATACGTCGGACTTCTCGTTGGTGCTTTAGTATGGGGTTCATCTGCTGATATAATAGGTCGAAAATATGCCTTCAACATTTCATTATTGTGGTGTTCAATATTTGCTATAGTGGCCGGTGCTTCTCCAAATTATTTCTCGGTCTGTATATTTGTTGCTCTATTGGCATTTGGTGGCGGTGGTAATCTTATATTAGACACTACAGTTTATCTCGAGTTTTTACCAAGCAAATATCAATGGTCACTAACATTTATGGCTCTATGGTGGGGTGTCGGACAAATGACTGCCTCTCTTGTGGCATGGCCATTTCTTGCAAATTATTCGTGTTCAGACGCCATCAACTGTAATAATTCGAATAATCAAGGTTGGCGATACACTTTCTATACACTTGGTTCACTTGTCTTTATTCTTTCTCTTCTTCGAATCACCGTCATTCGTCTAAAAGAATCACCAAAGTGGCTTCTTTCACAAGGAAGAGATAAAGAGGTCGTTGAAATTCTTCAATATATTGCAGAAAGTGGCAAACGATCTTGTTCACTTACTGTCGAAATGCTTGAAGCTATTGGACCAGTTCGTCAGGATAATCTTTCGTCAAGATACCATCCAAAAGTAATTTTCAAGCATGTCAAGGGACTTTTTCCAAATAAAAAAGTCGCTTATTCGACTTCTCTCAATTTTGCTTCGTGGTCATTAATTGGTCTTGCTTTTCCATTGTACAATGTTTTTTTACCAATTTATCTTCAATCACGTGGTAGACATGTTGATGGTGACGGATCAACGTATACTACTTATAGAAATTATGCCATCATAAATGTATGTGGTATTTTTGGTCCTGTAATTGCTGGCGGACTCGTCGAAGTTAAATATTTAGGTCGAAAGTATACAATGGTTATCGGTGCCCTTCTAACAATGGGTTTTCTATTTGCTTACACTGGTGTAAAAACAGCCGCTCAAAATTTAGCATTCAACTGTTTAATTAGCATTTGCCTCAATATATATTATGGAACTCTATATGCCTATACACCAGAGATTTTGCCAGCAGCTCATCGTGGAACAGGAAATGCTATTAGTGTTAGTTGCAATCGTATTATGGGTATTGTAGCTGCACTCATTGGATCATATGCTGATTTGACATCTAGTATTCCAATTTATGTTTGTGCTGCATCGTTTGGAGTATTAGCAATACTTAGTATATTGTTTCCATTTGAGTCTCTCGGTAAGAGAAGTACTTGAATTTAGACAGGCACAGATTATAATCGATTAATTTCACCTTTTTTTTGTGAAACACATTGCACGAAAAATAGGCATATTAAACGTTTTTCAACAACTGGGTTTTGTAGAGCAAAAGTATGACAAACGCTGTCATATTTTCTATTTCTCTCTCACTCGGTATAACCGAGGGATGCCTACTTGAGTTAGAATTTTTAAAATTTGTTTCTAATACTATTATTACTTTAGTAGTCAATTTAAAGAATAAACTTTGAATATCAATTTTTTATAAATAAATTTGATGTATCTGTTCAAAATAAAATTCAAAAATATAATTTAAAAGGTTTACACACGGTCAGAAAGTTCTATACAGCGACTATCAACACACCTAAGTTATGAATGACTATAACCACGTGAATGGTCAGGTTCAGACATAAAGAGGCTCACGAGGGAAGGTCCCCAAGTGTTACTCTCACTTTTCAGTGAGGCATATTCTAGTTTGTAGAGTTTAACGAGCTGATTACGATGGCATAAAAGCATTTTTCTCCACGGCTCTTGAAGATCCGGTTTTCTGGAAAACTAATTTTTCAGAAACTCTAAAAAGTAACCAAAACCTTTCTTAATGAAGCATAATATCTGATTAAAATGAGCCATCTCGCATCTCTAAACGACCTTTCTTTACACAGTTAGAATAGAAAGATTTACAAATAGAATTTACAAGAAAAGCCCTAAATTGATTTCGTCTTATTTCTGTAGCTTTGAGCTGACAATGAACATTTAGGGTTTTTCTTGTGAATTCTATAACTTTGCAAAGAAAGATCGTGTAGAGATGCGAGATGGCTCATTTTAATCAGACATTTGTGCGCTACAACTATGCTTCAGTAAGATAGGCTTTGGTTACTTTTTAGAGTTTCTAAAAAACTGGTTGTTCAGAAAACCGGGTCTTCAGAGACACGAGAAAAAATGCTTTATATCACCATTATCAGCTCGTGGAGCTCTACAAACTAGGATATGCCCCATTGAAAAGTGAGAGTAACACTTGGAGATCCCTTCTCGTTAGACAAATGCATTAAATATATTAGAAACGATTAATCAGGCTTATCTATTGTGCATAACCACAAGTAAACTCTCTTTTATCGCTCTTTGTATTGTAAGAGATTTAAAAGCGAATTTCAATGTTCCGGTTTGTTCTATGACCAGTAGCTAGACAACTAGCAAGACCAATGTGGTTCATTTTTGCGGAGTGATTCCTAAAAAAGAACAAAAGTGTCCATTTTTTGGGAAGTGATTCCCAAAAAAGAACACTTTGCTCTTGGACTCCTGGACTTCAGGAGTCCATGGGAGTCCAGGAGTCCGCTTTTCCCCCCTTGTAATGATGACATAAAGCATTTTTCTCGTTTCTCTGAAGACCCGGTTTTCTGAACAACCAATTTTTTAGAAACTCTAAAAAGTACACGGTAAAAAAAAAAGCGTCGAAAAGTTGACGCTTTTTAGTGGACGATTTTTTCGTTCCATCTTGGTATGCTTTTTTGCTAGACGGTTTTTTTTTGGACTAGTTTTCTCGTATGTTTTTTTTGTTAGATGGAAAAACAAAATTTGAAAAGATTTCCAGATAATATTTTACTCAGTTTTGAACGCACTATAATTTGGAAGTGCGCCTGATCTGCTGATTCGATCCACTATCGCAGGAAATCAGTTGTTTCTGAGATAAGCTAGTGCAGTGAAACGGGTCATCTATGCAGTATGCACTTAAATACTATGCTTGAACGAACTTTTGTGAACTAATTTTGTCGGTGCTTTTTTTTAGTATACCTTTCGTGGACGTTTTCTAGTGGGCGCTTTTTTGGACGCTTTTCTTTTTACTGTGTAACCAAAGCCTGTCTTACTGAAGCATAGTTGTAGCGCGCAAATGTCTGATTAAAATGAGCCATCTCGCATCTCTACACGATCTTTCTTTACGAAGTTATAAAATTCACAAGGAAAACCTTAAGTGTTCATTGTCAGCTCAACTAGGCGAAATTCTTAACTTCGAAACTTTGGCATTTTATGACATAAATAGTGTTAATGACTGCACAAAATTGTTTGCTGTTCATGCAGTTCTTATTCTTAACAATGATTGTTTTTAAAATCCTATTAACTATTGTTGATCACACACTGTTTGAACCTTATTCTTTTTCTTGTTGTTTGTTTTGCTCATTTCCAGTCGATCTGCGGCGACATGAACCAACAAACTATGGACAGGACTGAAAACGGGGTAAAAATAGGAATCAGGTCTTCTTCTTTGACAGAAGCATTTTTGAACAAGCCTACTTTGTAAAGAAAGGTTTGTGTACAAAATCTAAAAGGTAAAGAGAAGTGCAAACATTCCTAAACTCTTTTAGGTTTCGTAGAAGAAAAGGTACGGTACGAAACCGTTTAAGTGCATAAATTCTATCAGTCTTTTTTCTAGAATTTTTTTTTCTGAACAAGTGGACCATTTGAGCAGCTTAGACATACTTTCATAGCATAGAGCGGCAAAAACTGAGCCAAAGAATACCTAAAACTTCTGTAAGTAGAGGGATATTTGGGATCAGTACATTTGATAATCTATAATTCACTATGTTTTAGTATGATTTGGGATAAAAAAGTTTTGATTGTCACCGATGTTCATAGGAATAACAAAGTTTTCAATCTGAACGGCAGGCAGTTTTGTTCAGAATTCGATACTGATTTCTAAATATGTTGGTTGTTTGGAATCAACAATTAGCTTATCGCTACCTGTCCACTAGCAGAACTAGATATTACACTTTTTCTTTATGCACAGCAGAATCGAAATAATGCTGGAGATCTCCAAACTGGAGCAGGTAAATTTATCCATCTCTCTGCGCAAGGTATATGAAATCGTGATTTTCTTGTTCCTAGATGATTCGCCTAAAGGGGTGAACACATTTATAAGACCCTCACACAATAAAAGACTCCCTCTAAATGGAAGACCCTCCCTGAACCCATCTTCTAAAAGTCATAATAAAAGACCACTCCTATTTTTCACTTTTTTAAGTATAAGTGTCGCACAATTATAAGTATTTTCTATTGGAAGCAAATTCTCTCTTCCGCTGAAGCGACTGCTGGAGAAGAGAGAAAGGACACACGTGTGATGAAGTGACAAAATGTCTAAGTCTAACAAAAACAGCTTTTTTTCAGAGACACAATAGAAGACCCGTGTAAGAACTTGATCCTTGCAGACAGAACGGGAGACCCGGGTCTTTCATTGTGTCACCCCATTTACTACTGGTCCAAAATATATGCCTCACTGTCCGTATGAGACTCACTTAGACCATCCATCCATCGACAAGAAATATCCTTTCTCCATCAACCATTTGTGAAACTATACTTTCGGACCATGAATCGAATTTCTACCCTCGTATCACACCAGCCAAAAATTAAAAGATGGTTAGGAAGAGTGTATCCTAAGCTGCAAACCGTTTTTTCCTAAATAGCAGATGGAGCAGATGGATTATCGAAGATGCAATTAGCTGTTGTAGTAAAAAGTTCGTTATCTAATGTGCAAGCATTTGTGCACGATAGTGAAAAAATGACCATACTATAGCCAAGCGTAATAAAAACAGAATAATATTAGAGCATTCTGTCGGCAAAAATAAAATGTTGTGCACGATTTTCAATTGCTAAAGTCGATGTAAATGAATAATTATATTTTTCTCTCATAGATAAACGAATGAACTTGTTTAGTTGATATTGGTACTGGAAGAACAGCTAATGCTTCAATGTTTCTTTGTGAAGGTTTAATTCCATATCCGTTAACAATGTGTCCCAAATATTCAATTTCGGGTTTGAATAGTTGACATTTGGCTGGATTCAACTGAAAATTTGCCTTTGTTAGTGTTGCAAGTACATCTTCCAAATGAATCAGATGTTCCTTGAAGGACTTGGAGAAGATGATAATGTCATCTAAATAAACTAAACAGTAATCCCACCTCGTATTAGCCAACAATTGATCCATAATACGTTGGAACGTGGGTGGGGCATTTTTTAGTCCTTGTGGTAACACATTGAATTCAAATAAACCCTTCGGAGTTTTGAATGCCTTTTTGAATTTGTCTTGTTCCCTAATAGGGATTTGGTGATACCCGCTTTTTAAATCCAACTTTGAATACCATGCATTACCACCCAATCTGTTAATGGTGTGCTCCATATTAGGGATAGGGTACTCATCTTTTCTTGTCACCACGATTCTGTATTGATTATCGACGATTGAATTTAGAGTGCCATCTTTCTTCTTTACTAGTACCACTAGTGATGACCATGATGACTGCGATGGCCGAATTTGTCCATTTTTCAACATCTTGTCTACTTCATCTGCGATGATATGACGTTTCTCCAATGAATAAATTCTCAGTGCAGAATTTTGAGGAGGTGCATTTTCGGTGTTAATAACATGACCGGCTTTAATGTTTGCTCGAGTGGCTTGCATGGTGTCAAATAGTTGTTGATGTTTGATCAACATTGGATGTACTTGTCGCTGATGTTCTTGATCCAAATGTGAGCTGAGGTCGGTGAAACAAGACGGGTCACCATTCCATTTGACAGCGGAGGTGGTCTCATTGGTGTAATTGCTGCACATTGAGCGTCGTTCGATGATAATTTTGTTTGTAGTAGATACGTAATTATTCCCAATAATGAATTCTTCGTCAGTCTATATGAAGAATTTGTGGTGTTCGTAATCGTTAGTGTCGTTGAATAGTTGTCGATGCTCAATAACGCATTTTATAATAATAATGGTCTCTCATACTGCAGCTGTCTGAATGGTTGAAATAGCACTGTTGCAGCTGATGATATTGGTACCTTGGCTTGTGTTGTATTGAAACCGGGGTTCAGTATTATTGTATTGGCGAGTTTGACCCTAAATACCGTATCCTCACCGTGTTGTATAATTGGTGTTGATGTTAAACCATTTCTTGTTGGGATGGACATGCGACTAGAAAATTTATCAATTATTACCTTGTAATTTGTGATCCAATCGTCACCCAAGATAAAATTTGCGCACGATGAGTCGACAATACTTGCTGATACTGTTGTTGTAATGTGATTTATTTTGATTTGTAGGTCTACATATCCCAAAATTTTCATTTCACTCGAATTTGCTAGCTGGAATGTATTTGATGTCTGTTCAATTTTTGGATGATGCAGTCGTGCCAGTGTATTTTTGTGAATGAAGGAATGAGTAACACCGGAATCTACTATGACTTCGATGGGCACGTTATTAACTTGAACACGAATGAAGGTGAGTAATGGATTTGTATTGTTGGTGCCACTACCATCCACTTGTGACACCGATGTTAGTTTAAATGATTGGGACATTGTTGGGCATAATGTCCGAATCTTCCACATTGGTAACAAACGCCTTGCCAGTTCGATTGGCGTTGCTCGTTTCCATTTGCAGAATACGCTGTTGATGATCGATAATCCTTACCAAAATGTGGTCGTCGCTCGTTATACGCAAGTTGATGTTGAGATGATGCTTGTATTCTTCTTGCTGTTGGCGTAAACGTTTTGTCTACTGTTGCTGATGACTTATTCATGCGTTGAAATGTAAATTTCAGCCCAGCTTCCACGTGTTGCAATGCCAACAATAAGTCATTGGTAGTTCCTGTCAACGGTTGAACTAATATTTTATCCAATAGTTCTGTTCTTAGCTCATTTAACAATTTTGTTCGTTGCTCGTCAACTTGCATATGTGGATCATATTGACGACACATTTTCATAACATCATGATAATAATCTGTCAGTTACAGATGATTCACTTAATGCTTGCCGGCGGTTGTTCAGTTGATTGGCCAATATTAGTTTTTGTGTGACTGATAAATGAGCTACGAACTGTTGTTGAAATAACATCTTGAACTGCTGCCATCTGTCATTTTTTCCTTGTTCAATTCATACCATATTCGCGCTTCATTTTTCAAAAATGTCCGAATTAGCCACATTTTTTGTTGCTCATTAAGTTGAGCATCATTCAACGTATAATCCATGTCTTCAAGCCATTGGGCTGGTTTCTCGGACGGGAGACCATGAAATGGTTTTCTGTCATTCATTCATCATTGTTTTCATTCGACTAGCAACTAAGTCTTCTGAGAGTTTTGATGTCATAGCTGTTATTGTTGGGTTTGCTGTAACAACTGGTTGATTGGTATGAAGATAGCCGGAATTTTGTGAACTTACCACTGATTGGGATGTTGTTTTGAAATGGTTCGGGGAACTTCTCTGCTTGATTAAATTACTTTGTGTTTGTTGTTCTTGGAGTAGTTGACGAATTTCTTGTTAACCAGTCATAACTTGATGTTGTAATTGTTTAATTAACTCTTCCTGCTGTTGAAACACAGCCATCAGTAATTGTTCATTATTTGATATTTCAAACGTTGATAATTGACTCTGAACATCTATTGTGGGTAACAATTCTACTGGTTTGTTGATGGTGCCAGAGTCATCAGCCTTACTATCAGAAACATGCACGGTATCAGTGTTAACGTCTGTCATTGCGAGTGCTTTCTGTTTCTTGTTTATTGGTAATTTATCTGATTGTAATAGTGAATGGAAGTGTTGGGTATCCTTGTTTTGTCTGATATGATGTTTATGAAAATCTGACATTAATTGTAATACCGGGTCCGGCTAGTGCACCATTGCGATCGTGTCACTCTTCGATTTTCCAACCTTTTATTTTTAAGATACTTAAACTACTGCTGATTAACAGAAAAAACAGCCATATATATATGCGAACGAAAGAGAGATGGAAAAAGAATGATTTTCTCTTATGTATGAAATTAAAATAGACTAGTGTGCTTGAACAATGTAAAGAATGTAAAGAAAAGGATGAAACTATTTATGTTGCACACAATGAAGGTATTTCTCTCGACTACAATGGATGTGAATAGAGCGAAAACATCTTGCTTGAATACAATGAAGATATTTCTCTTATAGAGAATGACAGTGAAAAGAGAGAGAAATGAAAGGTCTGAATACATTATATATATATACTCTAACAGTACCTATAGTCTTTCAATAATCATTTTCTTTTAAGATAACAGCTTTTAATTTTCTATATTTATTAGTTTCTATGCTGTGATTTACCTGTACTAACGTAACTAATTATCACGTGTTATCATCATACAGTGGTCAGCTGCCTATATGTACGAGAACAGCGGATACTCAACGATATTCACCAATTAGATCATCTATTAAATCACCTTCACCTACGAATACCATGCTAGATACCGTTTTTTCTTTTTCAAAACAAAGAACAGTAAATTCAAGTGGGAATACACTATCCAAATATCCTTTAAGAAGAACAGCACCACCGCAATTTCGTCCGCAAAGGAGGAAGGTAATTATGTAACGCTAATATGTAATTCTTGTCTTGATTAGAACAAGGTGTTTACAGTTATCTTTATTTTTTTAGGCTTTAACAAGAAGAGTTCATAATAAAAACAAGTTATAAATATTCCTTGACGAAGAACACATTCCTTTCCCAACTAACGGTAGTCACAAATCAATCTTTTACAACGATAGTTTTGAGGAAGTATGTGGGTGGTTATTTGAGTCATTAGGAACCGGAACGTTGATATCAATGATCGAACTGAAAGAGCAATATATAACTATTTTAAAACACAGAAATGAGCAAGTAATGGACTCAAGTATTAGAACAACTTCAATTAGATTAAGACTGCAAACGAAGTTTGGCGATAAATTACATTTCGTTAAAATTAACAATCGAAGTGGAGTGTACATAGCGTTGAATGACTTATCAGCATATACGGACTTATCGTTGTTATGCTATTTCGATGAAAACAATGACAGCGACACGAACGAAACGAATGCTGTTTACGATGATACGGGCATAGAAGAGAAAAAAGCTGTGTGTGAAAAATTATTAGACACGATAAAATTATTACGACAATCTGTTGATGGAAATAATCACTATCTTAAAAAACTTAAGCAACACCGTGAACTACTCGCGGATTTTACACCTGACTTATATTGGAACTGCGTACCCTTGATAGTTAAAAGTTTTTTATTGGAATATTAACTGCGAATGAAAAAGAATTTGAAGAAATGAAGCACAGTTATGGTTATTAGGATGTATTAGACAAAGATTTATTCCAGTCATCGAAGAAATGGCTTAAAATTTCATCCATTGTCTATGATATCATGAACTGTAAAAACTGTGACAGTTATCTCACACCGAAACATTATCTGTTAGGAAATGAACTCCTTAAACACGAGCGATCATTTCAACTAATGACAATCATGAATCGGTTTGGACACACATGTGCTTATCGTACAATTGTGAGATTACAAAAAGAAGCAGCTATACAATTCTCAGGATCCTTGTGCTTACGGAAAATAGTTCAACAAAATCACCTTTTTGGGATTGTAGTAGCGGTACTAAAAAAACAATTCATGGTGAAAATAGTATTCATATTATGAATCAAATACTTATTCAAACTGTGGAAAATGACGATGTTCTTAGCTCCGTTAATGAATGCATGGATTAATTGAAAAACGAAGTTTCAGACATGGTGGAGTTATCCTTGATATCTGATAAGCCTCCGTCGATGTGTGCTGCCCCAACCGGCCTAATAATCACATCAAAAACAAATTCATTACTAACAAATATCTATCCTCGATACGAACTGTTCACTGATGATTCACTTAAGCTCATTTTGACGGCATATGCGGTAATAAAGTATGTGTTCAATAATAATGATTTAACACAAAGCTGCTATAATGGTATGCCCGTTCATCTGCCATTGCTTGCCGGTTTTTTGGCTACTCATTTGATATTTAACAAACGGCCATTACACTCAGTCACTTTCTGTACACCTATAGCCGAGGATCCAAGCTCACAAACAGCAGCTGAAGCTTGTCTTCTAGGTACGAAAGCTGCTTTTCTTGATACTCACTTTCAAAAGGAAGTAGTTATCGTGGTAGATGAAAAAATTTATCGCACTTATATCAAGGTAAATATTTCTTCGATTAATTGTATCTCTTTCAATTTCTGTTTTCAATGATATTTTGTATACGTTTTAGGTTACACAAACAAATCCTTTTGATTTTCGAGGTATAACAATTTATGCAGGTGATTTTCACGTTATGAAGAATTATATGATCGTCGTATGGGATGTTTTAGATGATTCAGGCATTGAAGATATACTGGGTTACTTTTACAAAGGAGCATCATTAAGATCAATTTTGGTTGTTCATCATTTCAATAAATCGTTACGGTGTTGTAAATTATTATACACCGCATTATCAATGCTATTAATCCAATCGTTTTTAAAATCCTTACCGTGGTTTGTTGATAAAGTAAAATTAATTGTTCGTGATATATCAAACGATTATAATTTCCTGAAAGATGAACTGAAACAAGGGGTTTTCAAAAATATGTTAGAACAGGTCGATACGGTAGAACTGTCCGTAGCACTGGATGCCTGGACGATAGAAACCATTCGAAAAAATACTACCTTCAAATTTTGGTATTTTGTTTTACATTTACTGTTAGAACCGTTAATCATTTTCTACACGTCAATTAGAACAGCAAATTTTCCAGCACGAAATGCAGCATTATCTCGGATGGCACCTTTGTTTTTTTCGAACAATCATCGGAATTATGCGCGTTTATGTGCACAACATTTATCCGATTTACGAATTAGTTCTGATTATCTATTGCAACGTTTATCGCGATCATTTGCAGTTAATCGAACACATCGGCCATTCTCATCAATTGCCATGGATCAAACCATCGAGTGCACTATTAACAAACTTGGAAAAGGTAGTGGTGGAATATCAGGTCGTTTTAATCAAGAATTAATCAATATATGGACAAATTCATTTGCATACAGATCGTTAATGACAAGTGTTACCCACGAAATTGCAGGTTTAGAAACAGCCAATAATACTATTGACTCACATGCTGAATGTAGGTGATTCGATTAAGTAGTAAGAATTTAAGTACCTTATTGTAAGTTCTAGTTAATTTTCTGATGTTTTAGGTTCACCAAGGCGGCTAAAGACAGATAATAATGATTTAACAACGATTATTTGCAAATTAGCAGCAGAAAAGTTATTTACATGTGAAAATGAACATTGCCGAAAATTATTATCTGGTAAAATTATACACGACGATATTATTGACAGTATTTGTACGTCGTATGACCGGGATTTAGAAGCTTTAAAAAAATACATCGAAGAACGTTTTGTTATGAAATCTGTACAAATTGACGAGCCACTTAAAGATTGCGTCTGCGAGATACAGATTTGTATGTACCTGGTATTATTAACACGAAAAAAAAACGAGAAACTAAAAATAACAACATTCAGAACATATTGAAAAAAGTCGATGACGACATCAGAAGATTTATTGTATTATCAGAATATCGCGATGTAGACTTAACGTCTATCTTTTCCCATGAATTTACATTAGCACCGTTAGCATTATGTGATCATTCAAATCTTGATTTAATGAATCAACAGAAAAAATCAGCAGTATTGGATTATTTGAAAGAAGAGTTTCCGGTTGCATTTTCAACAGTCGATTCCTCAACAAAACCAGAATATTCTGTCTTAATGGAGGAAGTATGCTTGAAATAAAACCAGTCACTAGACATGGAACGGTCCACGACTATGGGCTACAACTACTGAAGAACACAATAATACCACAATTCCAATTTTACCAACGTATTGATGTTGTTTTCGATTCGAAAGAAAGTAAAAATATGAAATCATTTACCAACAGACATGGTTACGACAAACAAACTCATGTGTATGATTTAAAATTAAGTGACATCTTGGAAACATCGTACCACGACTTCGTCCATGATAACGCGCCATTTTAGCTGAACGTGTCAGTGAATGTTGGTGCGAGTGAGCATCAGTAGAACTGTTGCCAGAAAATAGAGTTTTGGTGGCGTCCGGTCCAACAGAAGACGCTGTCATGTTGGAAAAAAATTCTGATCCCATCATGATTTATGCTTTGGAATCCAATCACATTGAGGCAGACACAAGAATGTTATTATATGCTTACGAACTTCAAATAGATAACCGTTATAACAAAATTACAATTCAGGCTACTGACACAGATGTTATTCTTCTATATATAGCATACGCGAATATCATTAACGTCGATTCGTTAGTAATAAAATCGTTTAATACATCAACAAAAAAAAATACTTATATAAACACAACAATTGTTGCCAATGAACTAATCATTACTAAACATTGCGAACCAGTAATATTATTAATACTACATGCATTATCTGGTTGCGACACAACTTCATTCATTAGAAATGTGACTAAAATTAAATTTTTAAAAACATATTTTAATAATCCACAACTGTACAATGAGATTATTAGATTTGCAGAAAATCCATTGAAAGATGAAACAATATTGGTAGCTGAACAACTATTACTGGCATGTTATTCTAATAAGTCGTTATCTCAAAATTCCACCCAACAATATTCGACGTTGGATGAACTTCGAGCAGCAGCTGCTGTGAGTGCTTTTAAACAGCACAACAAAAATATTTCAGTAGCTTTACCGCCAACTTCCGATGCATTTAAGTTTCATTGTTTACGTGCATTCAGACAAATTTATATATGGACAAAATCATTTGATCAATTTATTCGTTATCCAGCTTTAGACAATAATTGTTATGAATTGACTGATCGTCAAATTACGATCTAAACCTGGAAACGATCTAAATGGAAATCTAAACCTTCTTTTCCAGATGATGTTGGCTTATTTACTTGTGGAAAATGTACAACGGGCTGTAGACGCTGTAAATGTGGGTTGAATAATCTAAAATGCACCATATATTGTCAATGCACACCTGATAAATGTACAAACAGATTGGCTAAACACGTAAGTTATCCTTAATAAGAAATACTCTTAATAACCATAACGCTTTCACTCTATTTTTTCAGATGCTTAAAGGGATTTTTCTTGATGACCAAAGTGAAGTCGAAGATTATACGACAAACTTTAGTGATCTCGAATCAGAAGAAGAACTTTTTCTGCAAAATTTATCCCAAGCAAGCATTACCTTCTACATCGGCTACAGCTATACTTCACGTGATTTTGAAAACATGATTTCCTCTTTTCTTTTAGGACGACGATTTAGCTGATTTTGAAGAAGATGATCTATTGGATCATCCACAGCCAAATCATACAGCTTTCTTATATCATCATTCATCGGTAGAACTTTCGCTGAATAGAACTAGTTCAGCGGAGCAGTATTTTTCTCATCATACCACAGATCATGATTACTGTACACGAAGCACATCGTTTCCTGACAACGTGAGTATACTGCTACAAAGAATTTGCTTTACATCTCTCTCGTTATAATTCGCGTTTTAGCTTGATGAAGAATATGATTACGAACCTGACCAGTTTATGACGCAATGTTCCTCACGAAAAGGAGACAGTCAGTTGCTCTCAAAAAGCAATCCATATAAACCTATTTCAACAAATATTGTGAATGTATCACAGGTTAGATACCAAAACTGAATCTATTTGAAATTATTAAAAACGATTGATATTTTACTCTTTTAGAATACTTCAAGAAGTGCACAAGTCAAAAAATCTACAAAAGTAAAACGAAAAACTGCAAATAAACAGTCAAATCGCAAACGAAAGACATCTATAAGCAGTAGCGATGAAAACATCAATAGCAGCTCATTTACACGCGTAAAATTAACAAATCTCTTTTATATTCCCTTATTTTATGAAAATATCAATCTGTAATTTGCTTTTAGACATCCTTGTCAAACCACCCGAATAGCTATGATCAATTTTATTCACAATTCGATCCACTAAACGAATCATTTGAATAAATATGTGAACATCATGAAACACGTACTTCAACAGCAATTATACAAATATTTTTCCTTTTGATACATACCGAAATACCTATCAACATGCAGATTTTCTGATTATAGAGATTTGGTATTTTAAACTTTTACCCAGTATATTTGTTTACAGTCTTTTTTACGGCTTGTTGTTTGTACTTTGATTTTTAAAAATGGTAGTTTTTAATAATGAAAAATAAAAAACTTATGTCATTCTAAGCCGCGTAACAGCTTAGAGGAAAGAAAACTAAATTTCTGAAAATATCATCCACAAGAAGAACGTATAATTGACTTTTGGCAGAAAGTGTATTTGAATCATGTTTTACAAATATAAACTGAACAATTGAGCAAAAAGTAATTGTAACGGTTTGTATTATTAATTTTTATCGAATTTCTACCAAACGACCAAATATTCTGCTTTAATACTGCTTGTGTCGTTATTAGTGCCATTTACGATATACTGGCCACAGCCACGCCTCCATTTGGTTGTTTTAATCCGAGTAAAACTTGAAGTGTCTTCGAAATGTAATACTTGCAAATAAATACTTAAGCACATGGTACTTCAGGGCAATATATTTTATTTAATGAAAGTGTGTCGTCATCACAAAATACCCTAGTGAATGTACTCAAGTGTGAGTACTCTGGTAGAAAAACCGGACGAGTACTCATACGTACTCATACATTTTTTTACTCGCTGAGTACTTACCTGAGTACTCATGAGTGAGTAACAAGTACTCTGAGTACGACTTTGAGTACTCATACCACTTTCGGCAAAATACTCATGAGTATTGTTCATCGATATTTTCATATAGAGGAGTGATCTCAGGTAGCCAGAGTAGGACTACAAGTCTAGTCATAGACAAGTCTATCTCTGACTATATAAAGAGAGACCAGTGAGAAAATGATAATATAAATATTCTGTGTTTCTTCACTAAATTCTACATTCTTTATACAGTTTCAGTTTAGCAAAATAAAGCGGTGAATGAATATTTCCTGAGTACTTATATGAGTAACTGAGTACTCACTGAGTAACAATACTCAGAAATTGTTAGTAGTACCAATATGAGTACTCATGGACGAATTATAAGTAAAGTCGTACTCATCGTATGAGTACTTTCACTAGGGTACTCAGAGGGCACCATGTAAGTGCATCGGTCTATAATTGGTTGTTCCACCATTGCTTCGAGCGAAGAGTCAACATACCATTACGCCATCGGTCATTTTTAACGAAAAACTCTGAGTTTCTATGCTTTCATTTTTTTGAGGTAAACTTCTCAAGTTATAAAACCCTTAAAATAAGAATACGAGCTCATCAAACCGATGATCGAATTTCAAAAAATCAACCAAGGACTGCTGACTAGCAAGTAAATCTCTTAAGGAAGCAGAAAAAAATCACACACAGCATCGACCAAATCTAAGAAAATCTACTACGACCATCTCTTCAATTTTCTACTTCAAAATGCTAAAAAAGATATTCCATTAGTTTTAATAGGTGGTTTCAATGTCAGCAGAACTACACCTCTTGCTGGACTAAAACAAATTCTTCTCGGAATTCTTTCGTAGTTGTTATAAAAAACCTTCTTCTCCGTCTACTAGAACACTAACATTTTGAATAGTAACCAACGTGTTTTAAATACAACTTTATTTACTGTAACGAATGTGAACGATATGATTAAGAAAATTAAAAACAAGAAATCTGTAAGAATTGATGGTACTGATGTTCAGTTTTTAAAACTATGCTCTGAAGTTATTTCACCATAATTACATCACTTATTTACTTTATTATTAAAGCAAGGAGTTTTTCCGAAATCGTGGAAAAAAGCTATAATAAAAGCAATCCATAAAAAGGGAGCTCGAAATCTGTGTTCTAATTATCGACAAATTTCTCTCTTATCTAATATTAGTAAAGTTTTTGAGATTCTTATTTATAAATGTTTATTTAGTTACTTGTATGAAGAAAATTTTTTACTAATGTACAATTTGGCGTTAGATCAAGCTCTTCAACAGTTGACGCGCTGTTACATATAAAAACTCAGTTAAGTAATCTTTTAGAAGAAAGAAAAGTAGCAGTAGGGGTTCCTTTCGACTTTGCAAAAGCTTTTGATATGGTAACTCATAAACTCGCTAATTACCAAGAGAAGTGATTGCTGCCTTTAGTGCTCAAACTTTTAAACGTGCATTAAAGAAACATCTTATTTCTCTAGTAGTTAATAGTACATACTAAGCCATATTCTATTTTACTGTGCCTTTTTTTCTATTGTTCAACGTTCTTTTTTCTTCTTTACTGGCGTTGACCTAGACATGCTCTTTGTTGAACTTTTGTCATTACCCTGTCATTTTATTAACATCATGGACTAAAATAAATTGTCGTTCTGAACTGTCAACGGTATCTCTCATCAGTTGACGTTCTAAACAACGGCATGTCTTATGAGTTGGCGTTCTGACCGTCAATGATATCTCTCATCAGTAGATGTTCTGAGTAGTCAATCTAAAAAGTTATTAGAAACAATCAAGAAAAATCACACAAGAGAAATAAATAGTACTTTTATACAGCGATTGACTCGATAAAAAAGAATACGAGAAATAAAAGGAACGAGAATAATCAGGAAGAAGATTGAAGAAAAGAGGCCAAGAACGAGCAGAAAAACGGAAAAAACAGGTAAGTTTCACAAGCACTTTTGATAGACAAGAGATCTTTACCCAAATCAGGGCTTTACCGGAAAAAATGAAAATTTCATCCATTTAAGAATCTTAGATGGGTGGATTTCAACCGACGATATACCCTTTACAGTTCAGAGGGCCAAATGATGAGATACCGTTGACGTTATTTGAAGCCGCTACGACTACATCCCTACCATTGAGGAACAGTGCCTCTATCATTCAGTTGAGTGACGCTGTCAGTTTGAATTAGTCAATCGAAAACCAAAGATTATTTCTGTTACCACATACTTGCATACACGCGGTAAAAACATAACAAGAATGCCATGCATGGCGTTCTAATTATATTTTTTGTCATTCATATAAAAGTAAACTAACATTCGTGCGTGACCACAACAACTAACCTAACGAAAGAGCAGTAAATATTAACTTTGAAAAATAAAACTTAACTATTTTCTTAATCAACTACATTGAATTTATTTAAACACTTGATAATGGCAACGAACAAAATTTTAAATGTTTTTCTTCTTTACAAATCTTACCGCGTTCATAGCTTCTCCTCAGGAGAAGCTATATGAGTCATAAAAACTTAAATCCTTCTTTTACCCTGTGTTGCCATCCCATCAATCGACAGGCTTTTACAATAAAAAAGTGAGAAAAACTGTCAGAAATCACTAAAGGAATTTTACTACCCATATTTTCGTTAATCGCACATGGTACATCTGATCTACCTGAGGCGGAAAATGGTTCAGTTTTATTTTTCAAAGGTAATATTTACTACTGTTTCGTTAGGTTAGTTGTTGTAGTCACACACGAATGGTAGTTTACTTTCATATGAATGACAAAAACATAATTAGAACGACCGACTGCAAGTATCCCACTCCCGTACCTCTGCCACTGCTGCTTTTTTCTCTTGATAAAGCTCGTTGTCATACTAAAACATTTTCCGTAGCATGGTTCTGTTACTGTTGATCACGCTGTCCGTACTAACTAGTACTTACGATGCCATAGATTTATATCCACCATACACGATCACAGCCGGTCCAACGTACACCGCCTACAAGTTCAACATTTTACAGCATCTTACGGCCTTGTCTCCCTATTTTGAAACGAATACGAATGGACTGAGCCCTGATCCTCCTCCAGGTTGTACAGTGGTCAAGGCCGCCTATCTCGTGCGTCACGCTTCCATCTATGCCAACGACTATGATTATGAGGCTACTCTGTATCCGTTCTTGCAACGTCTCAAGAACGCGTCATCATTAGAAAATGTCAACTTTTCTTGTGCCTCGGATTTGGCCTTCTTAACTACGTGGACCTCGCCCATCACGGACAGCAAGAAACAAGTGGAAAAGCTTACCATATCTGGAGGTCTCGAGGCTTTCCACTTCGGCACCCGGCTCGCATATCGTTATCCACACTTATTGCCGACGAAAAAGACGAATGCGTCAGTTTTCAAAGTCTGGGCTTCCAAAGCGAATCGAACCAGACAAAGCGCCAATGCTTTCTTTGCCGGTTTGTATGGTGGTATCCAGGAGGATACGATCGGTCAGGTGATCCTAATTGCGGAAGGCGAAGAACAAGGCGCCAATACTCTGACGCCGCACAAAAGTTGCCCTCGATTTAGCGACTCAGCAGGAGCAAAAGAAGCGGATATCTGGCTGAAATACTACACTGGATCGATTATCGCTCGATTTGCCGCTATGGGCACGGGATTTAACTTCTCGGCCAATGATGTGTTGGCAATGCAGGAGCTATGTGGATATGAAACCGTCATACGTGGGTCATCGCTCTTTTGTCCTATCTTTACCTCGGATGAATGGCTTTCTTTTGAATATTATTTTGACATTAAATACCACTATCAGCTGGGCTACGGTGCTGACAGGTCACCTAGTCTCGGTATGCCTTGGGTCGTCGCATCGAGTAATCTTCTCAATGAAGCCAGAACTACGGATCAAGATCTTTACATTAGTTTCACCCATCGGCAGAAGCCGTTACTTGTCTTGACATCATTAGGCCTCTACAACAATTCATGCTATGCGGGCGTGGACGATATCAATACTACGTTTCCACTCGACCAGATTAATCACCAGCGTGCGTGGCGGACAAGTGAACTCATTCCCGTTTTGGGTCACGTTGCTCTCGAACGTCTGGACTGCGCGTCCGTTACTCACACTGGATCGTTTGTCAGAGTTCTGGTGAATTCGATACCAAAGCCCCTGCCGCATTGTGCTTCCGGTCCAGCCGGTAGTTGCCCTTTGCCACACTATATGGATTATGTTCAGCGGCGTCATGCGCTTTACGAAAAGTTTTCAAAGACTTGTGGAGTCCGATACAAGAATACCACCGACGTGTTAGCTATTTATTCATGACAAAGGACTCAGTATCTATTTTCAGAGGCTCGGAACGCCCCTACTTTTGATCAATGAAATGATATTTTACATTTTTGGAAAACTTCGACTGATTGAAATTAAGAGATTAAGATCTGAATTTTCATGGTTTGCGGTGCACCGGATGCAAAAGTCGGGTGCAAAATTTTTTCGACCAATTCATACATGGCTAGATAGAGTTCACTGCGCTGATTCAGAATATGTACCTTTAATTTTTGTTTCAAGATCTTGAAAATACAAAACGTTTCAAATAAATGAAAAAACGACAAATTTTGAGAATACTCAAGATCTCAGCACTCTAAACTAACTCTGTTTCCCTGAAGCTATTTTATTTAAATTTAGCATTCAACACTGAGTGCGACAAGCACAGTTTTGGCATGATGATTTATGACATGATTCTCATGCTTTTTTACAGTTTGTATCATTTTTTAGAATAAATGTCTATATAATGATAAGAACAAATAATGACGAACACTGATTCCATGTATATTTACTCACGAAAGTTTTTCGTTCCGATTTTTCTGCACTCAACGCCCTGGTGCTTATTTCATGATAAAATATGACACCGATGGATAACAGTTTCGTTTCATTCATGTTTATTTAACATTATACTGATTTGAAATAAAGTGAAGTAGTTTTAAGGTAGTACAGTAGTTATAACAGCTTAGGTCTAGTACAGGTTCCGATAGTGCATATGTAAAAACGTTTTTAAATCGTTAAGCAGAGACTGCTACGAGACTCAGTATCGTCGATTTCATTGCGAAAAGATGCAGTTAGGTTCTAGCGTTCGATCAGTGAAGACCCCAAGCATCTACCACTTGTCTGTCAAACATTATTCAAAAAACATCCGACTACATTCTTTTTTTTTACTGACAACAGGTCCGATTAAATTTTATCCCAATTCTCGTTTAAGGAGATCCAATAAGTCCGTCTCGGTATTATCTAGATTCTAAATGACGCCTTTATTAAAACTCATGGAATAATATTTATGTTCTAAGCTGGTAGAAAAAATAGAGAAACAATAAGTTTCATCAATAAACAGCAAACCACATGATAGTGGAAGAGTTAATCATTGATATCAACTAGAACAGACTATTCAACAACTGGAGAGTTTCAGACACATAGACACACTACTTAACACATGCAAAAGTATAACGATAAATGTATAAATAGATCATTTGCTTTGAGTTTTAGTCGTGAGAACATCTGTTTGTCTGAAGTCAATCAGTTCAATTTAAGATTTTTTTATTAGAGAATTTTCGATCAGCTGTCAAGGCCCATTTTTTTTCTTTTACATACGAAAGTGGCAGGATTTTGAGGAGAACTCTATGAAGACGGTGGAGAAAACGACTTTGACACATTGCTCAAAATAGTAGTACATAAATTGAAGCCGTTATTTAATAGCTGTTGAGACCGCTTTTGAAGATCATCACATTCAGGTACAGAAAATGACAATTAGCATAAATTTTAGATGTACGACATCCTGTCATCACCTCTTACACGCTGTCTCATCATTAAATATATTATATGGAGCATTGATGAACGCTGTTCCGTTCTTTTTGTGTCTGCTTTTACCACCATTCTGTGGCCCACTCCTCTACCTCATAAGTGTAGTGATCAAAATCTACTTTATTTCACCTTATGAATTAAACACTAGGTATTGAAAATTTCCTATCTTACCTTACCACATTTTGAGACCTATCAGAGAAAAAGAAATTTTCGTAGTATCATAACTCTTCTTAAAAATTTTCAAGCCGCCGCTAAAAAAGTAAAACTAGATAGACTAACAGTTCATTACATTACAGAAGAGGTGAGTTCATATGTGGCTCTAAGCATGACCCGACTCTTTCGCGAACTATTCATAATACAAATTTGGGTATTTTGGCAGGGTGTGATGACCGATGGGGGCTAGAGTGTGAGGGCAGTGTGGGTAGTGGCGGAGCGACCAACAGGGCTAGACTGAGCTGAGTCCTGCCTAGAAAGCTCTGAGCCCCGGCTATACAGTTTTTTAAAATTTTTCCTGAAATTCAGCTTAAATTTATTAGCACTACTTCAGACCGAACTCCAGAAAAGTGATGGACTGAGCCGTGCCTAGCACGAAATCCTGGTTCCGCCGCTAAGTGAGTTCGAAAGTATTTACAAGGATTGAGTTCGAAAAGTAGTTACAGACAAAGGATATTTGCATAACGTAGTATGGATCTACTTTAGCTCCGAAACTAACGTCGTAGAGAGTTCGAAGACGTTTTAAATTTTAGAAAAACTGTTTCCACATTTTGAGAACTGTTAGACTCTAGGTAACCTGTCTGCGCACACTGTAATCCAAATGCTGAGACCTGCTTTTTAAGAACTGAAACCAAAGGTGTGGATCTCAGCATTTTGACCAAAGTTTCATGAGGACAGGTTAGCTAGAGTCTGAACAAATCGCAAAATGTAGAAAATAGTTTTTTCTATAATTTAAAACGTCTCCGAACTCTCTACAACTTTTAGTTTCGAAGTTCTAGTCGAAACAAAATGAGCAAAAAAAGTAACGCTGTGATATCTCTGCCATAGGAGTTATGTGGAGAAGACGGTATCTCGTAAGAAATTAGTTCAAGATATAGCTATATTAAAATTGTAATAACGTGTAGGTTCATTAGTAATACCAGTTGTTTTATTAGTTTTCTAAGGTTCAGTTTTCTCAACATCTATTTTTGGAAAATTTGCAGAATCGTCGGTTCGCGGAAATGTCGATGTACTATCTCAGTTACCTCCATTGCACCATCAAAAACATTTTGGAATGTTCCCTCGTCAGCTTTGTACCATTGTACAGAGATTGCCACGAGACTCATATAGTTCATCCGTCTTCAAGGCTACGAATAATTACTGGGTGCCAGTCCCGGGACTCGTAGAAAACCTGATACAGTGTCCGCACCGCGGAAAATCAGTGTCTCGCTTGACTCCTATTTTGAAGAGGACACTCAGCACTATCAGCCATAGAAAAATCAATACACTCTAATTCGAGGATTGTCGCACACGGTCTAGTTTTCCAAAGATCAAAACACAAAATCAATCCTTATAGCCCGCTTGTCCAAAGGTAATGCTATAACATTCTTGACACAGTAATCTGCGATTTTCTCAAAAACTATAAGTGCTAGAGAGTTTGTTTTTGCGCCATTCGATGCGGCTCTTCTTACTCTATTTTGAATATAAAAACGAAGATTTTTGATTGAAGAATCAAGCTTCCAGAAAACCTTTTTAGATCGATAACGTCGTGACATAAAAAAGCCCTAAATTCTAACTACTACCCACAAAAGTGGAAATTCTTGCGAATTTAGAAGAGCTATTAAAAGCGAATTGAGCGAAGCTTATAGAGGAGCTAACGAGCTTTCTTTTGCTAAAAAATGTTTTTTCAGAGCCCTTTACTTTGTTTTGTCAACCCAATTTACTAAAATAATACTGTGACATTTTTGGTAACGCTGTAAGACACTTTTTTGTAGCACCATTTTTAGGCACTAAACGTTGTTCAAAAAGCTTCGTACGAACAGTTTGTGTAGTTCTTGGTTCCATTTGAAAATAAAGTTCGAAATATTCTCTGAAGCTTTCAGATCAAGGCGGAACGTGAAATGTTCAAGAGGCCACTGTGTCTCGATTGAGAAATAGATCTCGAAATAAAATAAGCCATTTTGCAGCAAATGGAATTCTCTATTCAATAGTATGTTTTTAAAAGTTTTTGAACAAAATGTCTAGGTCAAAAAACTGAAATTAAAATTTTTATATTGAAAATTAATTTTTTTTCTTCAAGAAAAGGTCAGATTCGTGATCAGCATGAAAAGCTACGTCTAGTGATGTGGGCCTATCGATTTTCGGATGAAAAAAATTCAAAAGAAACTTGATCAGGGAAGTGTCATGTTACGTGGACATGCCGTAGAGCTTTTGCGTTTCTGTTTTTTCCTCCTTCTGACATTTTTTCACAGCAATACACTTTTTTTGCTTTTTTCCTGCTTATTCATCCGTTCTTTCTCCCGTCTTTTTTTGTTCTGTTTTTTTGTAATATTGCATGCATATGGGGAAATGTGATTTTTGTCGTTCTCATCGTATGGAGGAACATGAGAAGAAAAAGAAATAACTTTTTATGACCCAAAAGAAAATGAATGTATAACGATGTTAAAAAAAACAAAAAATAGCGTGTTATGTTTATAGAAGACCAAAATTATTCTATTGCGAAGTTAACAGAATAAAAAGATTCAAAACTTAAAATGGGAGAAAAATCATCACCGTTGATACCACCATCCGAAGCAAGTAGTTCAAAAACAATTAATGCAGAGACAATCAAAATAAGAAATAAGAAATGGAGAAAAACTCTTGTGTTTTTTATCGGGTGTTTGCTGTTATTGAGTTTAATGGTGTTGATAGCACTAACTTACAATCGTTCAGTAAAAAGAAATCGAAAATATACATTGAGTAAAGGCAGGTTATTTTATTTTATAATTAATCTCTATACTCGTGCTACTTGTTTCTGTTATTTAAGGTTTAAAAAATGGTGCAGGTTTTGATTTAAACCTCTACAACACTGTCGTGCAATCAACACCGACCCAGAACATATTTCTGTCACCAGCCAGTATTTCACTTGCACTCGGTATGACAGCAGCCGGAGCCGGTGGCAGCACACTCAAACAAATGTTAACTGTTTTAAATGTAAAAACACTTGATGAACTAAGCAAACGTTCCACTCAAATATCAGCCTTCATAACATCAGCTACTGATGATGAAAAGATGAAAATAAAAGTGGCAAATCGTTTGTATATACAAAAAAAGTTCAGTGTTAAACAAAATTATATGGACTTATTGCAAAGTACATACATGTCAAGCATCGAGCGAGTTGATTTTGAAACCAATCCAAGTGCAACTGTAAACTTAATTAATTCATGGGTTGAAAGTCAAACAAATAATATGATTAAAGATTTACTGTCATCAGATGATGTTAACAGTGGCACACGTTTAATTCTTGTAAATTGTATTTATTTTAAAGGTAAGATAAGTAAAATATGCAGTTGTGACAGCACGAGAAAAGTTTCACTTTCTTCTTCTTTCAAACAGGTCAATGGGTAAAATCATTCAATGCTGATGAAACAACTAAGGACAATCAGTTTTATCTTGAAGATGGTACAACCATACCGGACTATACGCTGATGGTTCAAAAACAAAAATTTAATTATGTTGATGCAACAAATGAATTAAATGCTCGAATCTTGCATATTCCCTATCAGAATAGTAAAAATGACATGAATTTTGTATTTACAATAATATTACCAAATGAAAATGAGAAATTGGCTAATGTTGAATCAAAATTATTGAATGATAAAACACTGAAACAACTGAACAAAAATCAAGAAAAAACAGTAGTCAAATTATATCTGCCTAAATTTAAAATGGATTATGAACTGAGTGTGAAAGAAACCTTGAATAAATTAGGTATCCAGGATGCATTTGATGGTAACCGAGCGGATTTTAGTGGGATAACGGGAGATCAATCATTGTTTCTTAGTGATATTAAACATAAAGCTAGAATTGAAGTTACGGAATTAGGAACAGAAGCAGCTGCTGCTACGGCAGCTATAATTATGATGAAAGCAGCTATCCAACGACCACAGCTGATTGAATTTCGATGTGACCGACCGTTTCTGTTCATGATTCGAGAACAAAATTCTGATATTACATTGTTCCAGGGAAGATTTATGAAACCAGTAGCAGCCGAATAAATATAAATCAAAATAATAACGCTAGATAGTTGCTGTCTGCTCGTGTATTTTTGTATACTTTGGAAATTTTCCTCTTTTTTTAAATAATTGTTCTTCTGATAAAACGAAATATGTGTTTATGTGTGACTCGGCATAAAAGTCTCACGTCATAGTCGCCGACAGTTCAAAAAGCAGAATTTTTTGTAGAAATTTCTGCTTTTTGATCAGAACTGAATGCTGGCACCAAACATGTAGAAATTTCTTCAACGGTCGAAAAAACAGCGTTATCGTAACTACTAAGGGTGTTACTTTAGTTTTATTGTTCATTTACAATAATGGATAAATGTAAATGAATCATTTACGCTTAAAAAATAAAGATAAATAAATGAAAAGAAATTTATCGTTATTTTATAAAAGCAAATGACCCATTTATTTTTATTTTATAAAAGTAAAGGTAGAAATAAAGAAATAAAAATAAATGAATCATTTACTTTTATAAAATAGCGATAAGTTTCTTTTCATTTATTTATCTTTATTTTTTAAGTGTAAATGATTCATTTACATTTATTTTCTAAAGTTGCAGTAAATTAACACCCTTAGCAACTAACTACTCCATGACTTCCTCCAGAGGAAAAAAATGCGACACAAAGAAAAGTCAGATATGCTTGGGACCAATTAACGAAAAGACACATCTTTGTTTTTCTTTCGTGTCTTTTCGTTAGTCATATCTGACTTTCCTTTGTGTCACATTTCTTTTTTCTGCAAATGAATGAAAGTGACTGTTTATAACAAATGAAACGATGGAACTTAGATTTAAGTTACTCCAAGTTGTGTTTTCATTAAATACGCTGTGGGAGAAAGGTAACTGCTACAATCTTACCATGGAGTTAGAGAAAGTAACTTGAAGTCTCAGAGGCTTACTGCTATGCCTGAAGGTGTCAGTAACGGCTGTTGTCACCTTCCAGCTTACACGTGTCAGTACATGTTTGTATGATGCCTAGTGGTCTCACACCTAGCCGTGTTAGACGACAAAATTGTCGGCGGTGGATGACTTACTATTTTTTTTCGTCTGTGGCGGAAAATTGATGAATTTATTGAGGTAAAGTTAGGCTTTCTGAATGAACATATTTCAGATGGTTTCCATGGTTTACCGTCGACGTGGCGATACGAAGCTTTGGATTATTGACGGTTAGCAGGTTATTGAGCCAAGTGATTTTCGAAAAACTGAAGATCTCTTTCAGCGTTGATTGTACCTGATTCTCAATGCATAACAGGCTGAGCCCTCAAAACTGCTACGTATGTATTTAGCACGAACAGATTGTTGCTAATGTTTCGTTTCAGCTTCACGGCCTGTTTATTATCTACAAATATTTTAGATTAGTTATGAATTTTCAATTGCAAAATACCTCTCTCTGGTCCATTAGCCTTACTTCTCTAATAAGGAGCTGCAGGTATGTTTAGTATTCAGCTCATAATAAATAATTTTTCACGACTTACTTATTCTTTTCTGCTTTATTTATATGGTGTATTTTGTCTGTTTTTTAGAGCTTTCAGAAAACGTTTTGTGAATAATCTTTCATCGGTTGAATATTTTAATATATGTTTTCTTTTCTATGTTCAGAAACGTGATAGATTAAAAATTGTGTACTTTTTCCATTTCTGTGCTATCTTTCTTCCTCTTTCTTCGAACAATCTTTCTAGAAAATTTATTTATTTTATTGAAGGTCGTAATAGTTCTTGTGATGCTGGTGTTGATGATGGTGATGATGATGGTATAGATAGTGGTAGTAATTTCGAAGTTGGTTCCTCATTGTGATCAATATTTTTCATTAATAAATTGTTTGTTATGGTTGAAAGTGGACGATTTTGTAGACGCCTGACAGGTGTTTTAACTGGTTCTTTTTTACGATCATCTTTATTTTTCTTATAAAATGATGTGTAGCGACTAGATTGCTTTGGACGGTGTCGAGGATGAATGACACTGTTTATCGTAAACAATGGTAATGTTACGTTTGCTAAAACTTTATTAGTAAAAACCGGTTCTCCGGGACTTGTGGGCGATGACGTGCGTTTCACATTCTGTCCAGTTTTTGAGCCTAAAATTAGCAAAAGAGAAAACAGTGATTTCCTCTCCGCCACACCATCACGTTTCTGAAGTAGAAAAGAAGAAAACATATACAAATAAAATATTCAACCAATGAAAGGTTATTCAAAAACGTTTGCTGAAAGCTCTAAAAAGCGGACGAAAAACAGCATATAAATAAAGCTAAGAAAAACAAGTAAATCGTGAAAAATTATTTATTACGAGCTGAATCCTTTAAACACCTTTAGTCGAAGTTTAAAATTTACCAAAAAAAGTCAAGATGTTTCAGACTTATCGAAAGAAAAACGTGAAACAGTCATAAAACGTTTTTGGAGTTTATTATGCCCTAAGTTTAAGACTAAACTGGAACTTTGACTAATAAATTTGGCTAAAAGGTGCAAAAAAGAAATAAAATCTGTAATTTTCCAACTTGCTCAGTTCAGATTGGTTTTGTTTCCGTATAAAATGTATGAATGTGCTGAAATTTGCACATATTTTCAATATCAAGGTATTTCTAAAAAAGTAATGCCTAATTTAATGGCTAAAAATAAGCTAATTTGGAAAAATTTGTTTCTATTGAAAAAATACACTATTAACAACAACTTACACCACACCAATAAAATTTGATCATTAAGATACTGATAAAGCTGGGGATGATCTATTTGAATGTCAAAAGTACCTTGAAAATACAAAAATAATTAACTGGTTTAATAAATGAGTTCCTTTATATTCACTAAAAACCAATGGTAATGAGACGATTTTATTCTGCATCCGTAGTTGTTTTCCTGCTGGTACCACTGATGTTTGTATAATTTGTCGCAAGCAGCATCTAGCTAGAGTATATTCTTCCTGAATTTTAAAGCTTTTTTTGCTCTGTCTTTCTACTCAATGTTGGGGATTAGCCGATTTGGTGTTCAGAAAATAAAAATCTAGAAACTTTTCATGGAAGCTAAACGATCTGCGTTTTCTCAAAACGGGAGTTATTTGCGAAATGTTAAGTTTTATCTGTATAAATCTTTTTATTTTATTAAATTTTCACGTTTTTATTGTACTTAATTTACGGGAAAAGGAAATTATTTACTTATGAGTGTCTTCTAAATATGATTGGTACCCAAGATAGTTCATTCACACTTTGTCATCATTTATCTGATTATATCAAATCAAATGAAGCTAATGATCTCCTTCACACCCGAAGGTTTGAATACATAACTAAAGAAAATATAGAGCAGCTTCACGATCACTTTTGAGTTTAGGTATCTCCCAATTTAAAGATATCGATGATGGGCTTTTAGGAGATACCTTGTTATTTATTTTAGTATGTATATGAGTACACAGCAGGATTTTACTTCGAGATATTTTGTGTCAGCTACGTTGACAGCTTGTGCTATGAGTAATCATGGAATGTCTTCGGATGCCACAAGTCTTTTTGGTGTTTTTTTGTGATATCCGATCTTTGCGAAAAATAAATTCCAGTTCAGTTTAGTTCAGTTCAGTACACATGACTTTTTGTCAATAAACTGAACTGAACTGAATGGAATCTTGCTGAATTTCTTACATCTTCATGTTTACACGTAAAAAGACCGTTCTTTTTCTTACGAACTTTTATTTCGCAGAATTTCTCCTTATACTGCACTCAAAAATTCTAAAACTCTAGAATAGATTAGCAGCAGAATCGGCTTAATAAATTGTTGAGGCACAATTAAGCACTTTGGAAAGCAGAAGCCGAAAATGTTCTAAGAAGAATCTACAGATGGAAACCATTTTCTAGATAAACCGTAAACTTTATTGATTCAATAAAAATAAATGTACGTTATATGCAAGCTTCAAAGATGTTTGACTTTATCAAAGACGACCAGATAACTCTTTCTTTCTTTATTCCATCTCAACGTTGACTTTCGTTAACCATAACGTATCTTTCAAGATTATTTTTGCACTCTATTTCCTCTCTATGAAGAAAAAAACAATTGTGCGAAATGCATGTTCACTCTCCAGCCACACAAATTCTACAGTACTCCGCAAAAGTAGCGGGCCCTGTAACTCAAGAACCATGATAGCTAGGGCTCCTAATTTTGTGTGATCATAGCTCTTGCCGCATACTGATCACCCACCAAGTTCAGACCTCTTTTACTCGGTGGTTCGTGAGATATAAGCGATTCATCTCTTTTTCGTAAAATATCAATAGCTCCCGACCTAACAGAGATAAAAACTTTTCCTTTTTACTATTTCAAAAAACTTTTTCTTTTTTAGCTATTTCACGGGCAAGGATCCTGAAAATGAGGTACTGATATATGAGGCCCTTTCCAAGAATAATTCATAACTCATTCTAGAAACATCAGTTCCACCTCAAAGTCACAGCAAATACTTCTCGACGACTGTCGACCATCCAGTCAAAGTATGAAGGTTAACTATTGCGTGATTCTGAAAATTCATTCAGAACGAGCACTCATGATTGAAACATACGCAGAACAGCGAGGGTAAGGAACTAAGGGTCGCTCTTTCTACGATAAAATCGGTATTCAATGTATATTATAATTATAAAAAAATAATCATAGAAACCTATGGTTAAGAAAAACGTAGGTGAAACTTTTGTCAGAAAGATTACGCACTCACCTCAAACCTTCGCATTTCACTTATTTCACTTCTCTTCTTTTTCAAGGGCCTCATATCTCAGTACCTCATTTTCAGGATCTTGCCCGTGAAATAGCTGTATTCCATTAACCACTAATAGCCAACTCATAAACGATTATATTATAGGTAGAGTAGAGTCATGGCTACATTTCAATAAAAAGAAAAAGTTTTTATCTCTGTTAGGTCGGGAGCTATTGATATTTTACGAAAAAGAGATGAATCGCTTATATCTCACGAACCACCGAGTAAAAGAGGTCCAACCTTGGAGGGTGATCAGCATGGGGCAAGAGCTATAGTTCTTGAGTTACAGGAGGCCCGCTACTTTTGCGGAGTACTGTAGTAAGAGATAAATATGTCTCAAGTTCACAGTCCTTTTTAGAACCTTTGTGATAAGAGCGTCCAATAAAGTAATATAATCAAATTCTCCCGTCGCTGCAGGGTTGCCAACCGCAGCGCTAGTATCATAGTATGCGTTTTTCCGAAAAAATCAGAAAAACGCATTGGTACTAGCGCTGCGGTTGGCAACCCTGCGTCGCTGTCACTCTATTGCAACACTTACTTTAGGAACATCGACTTTCTATACAAAACATCTCAAAGCAGAAAGAAAGAGAAAAATGTCAAGTCAATCGAAGAGAAAGAGAGAACAACGTTTTTCTCGTGTGAAGGTGGTATTCACCGTTGTTTCTTTTCTGTTTTTTCCTCATAGACTCGAGACGAAGAAAAGAAAAGCGATTAAAGTTTGTGGCAGTATTGTTGTGTAGTCTCAGTAACATTCGTGTATAGGTAACAACGTATGATTTGCAACACTGAAATTGCACAGGGCAGGTCGGCACGATTGAGATTATTAGAAGAATAAGTTATTTCAACGGGTGAAAAGTATTAAAAATATTATCGAGCGTTTTTCACGTACAGGTTATCCTTTCCAAGCGCATTTTATCGTTAAAGTGACTGAACCCACGCTGGTTATGACCAGTATACCGGCTAACGTTCGTAATTATTTCAAATTAGAGCTTCTGATCGCTCGTTCATGCGTCATACTTCGTCAGGTATTCAAAAAACGATATTTTCTATTCACCGACAGTCAATTATGGGATGATTTATCGACATATAAAAGCAGTTATTTAGCTAATATTATTGGAAAAAGCAAAAAAATCAACTTGACAACTGTTCAAAAAACATTAGTCCTTAATGGAGATTCTAACGAATGGGATTTAACGACGTTAACTGCTCTTCTATTGAATCCCGATCGTCCAAAGACTCTTAGTACAGCTGAGATACAACAACTTGATAATGAAGATAAATTGCTTATTCAGTTGCGAGGTATCCGTAATACATTAGCTCATCATCCGTCGAAAAACATTACCGATATTGAATTTCATCAGTTTTGGTTTCAGTTAACAGCTATCCTAGTGGCCTTTGGCGATATCGATAGTGAATTGGAAAAACTCAAAGATGATCTTGTGTTTCAATCGTCCACTCAGTCGATTAACGAAGAGAATGTGACGGAAGTATTACGTTTAAACTTATTAGGTACACAAGCTCATAAAGAGCAGAAATTCTCTGATGCTATAATATTGTTTACGAAAGCAGCTGTCTTAGCGGGTGTTTCAGATAATGATCGGGCCATTATCTATTCAAATATGTCAGCTAGCCGACTAGATTTGTACGAACAACAAGCAGACCCTTCGAATATGTTCGGCAATGGTGATCCAACAGATCAACGATATCGTGCATTACGCGACTCGAAACAAGCTCGAATGCTGTGGCCAACATCATGGAAAGGGCATTTTCGTGTTGGCAAAGCTTACGCTGCTTTAAATGAACATGAAAAAGCGATTAATTCATTTGAACGAGCATTAGCCCTTGATCCAAGCAACAGGAAAATACAAGAAGAACTAAGTAATAGCCGTCAAATCCAGGCTCGACAACTACGACAAGAACATCTTGATCCACGTCTTAAACCACTAACAGTACCTGAACAGTTGAATGAGATGAAAGAAAAAATCGGGACAGATCCACAGCAAGTACGTTTGGCTCATAGTTTGCTGGACAGGGTGAATCCTTCTGGAGCTGATGTGGTCAAAGGCCACAAATATGAACATGGTGATATCGATGTTAAACAAGATTACGAGCAGGCTGCTAAATATTTCGCTAAAGCAGCTAGTCAGGGTAATGCCGAAGGATTGTATAATTTAGCTCGGCTAACCGATCGTGGTTTGGGCGTGAGAAAAGATCATCGTATGGCTACTAAATTATTCGAACAAGCGACCGAACAATCGCCGAACGATCCAATATTCCAAGGCTCCCCGAACATCGGTGTAGCTGAATCTGAACATGCTCTCGGACTTCGCTATGCTGAGGGCGTTGACGTCCATAAGAACCCGTCAATCGCTGCTCAATGGTATAAGCGTGCTATCGACCACGGCAGTGCTAACTCCGCCAATAATTTAGCTTTGATGCATCAAAGTGGTACTGGCGTTGAAAAAAGTCTTGAAAAGGCTAGAGAGTTGTTTGAATTGTCAGCGAGAAGAGGGGATCCAAATGCTATGAAGAATTTAGCCGAGCATTTATTCAACACAAATGATCTTGAAATGGCAAAAATTTAGTATGATCGAGCATGTGAAGCTGGCAATGTCTTCGCTCAAGCGCAACGTCATGATTTCGAGTCACATTTACGTCAAAAGCAACAAATAATGACTCACTACACGTCCGATTCTTTACAAGCCATGAATGAAGCGAAAAACATTCTGAACTCATTAAAGACGACACAAACCGCAAATAAACTTTCCGATAATCCACGTAGCTACGATTTTAACGTATTGAATAAATATGCTAAATGTGGTTCACAGATGGCTAAAAAAATGTGCTGTGCTCTTCAGCGTTTCCAACAAGCGTTAAACATAGTGATGCAATCAGAAACGTTAGCAGAAATACAAGAGAACGCATTCATAAGTGAGTTTTCACAATGTTGTCGTACTGAACGTATTGTCGCTCAAATTTCGAACATAGAAATGTATAAAACGATTAACGATATCGTTGATCGAGTACTTCAACGTTGTTACAACACATCAAATACTACGATCTCACAAGTCGATGAAGATGTTCGAATCTGTTATGCTACATTACATATAGATTCACCCAAATCAACTCTTCAATTTCTCGGTCTGTGCAAACAAAAGTACCCGAAATCAACACATTTTTTTAAATTAAGTGCTATAATGAATAGCAGTCTGAGGCAAGACGAAGCTAGTTTACATGATATCAATGCTGGTTTGGAAATAGATCCTAATCATGATGAACTCTTGTACCAAAAGGCCGTTTCATTGAATCTATTAAATAGGAATGCAGATGAAACAATCGAAGCGTATCGAGCATTTCTGGCAATTGCACCTGCAGATCACTTTAATGTACCCGCATCGTATTATACAATCGCTAGTTGTTATTTAATACATGGCAGAGATGATGGTTCAATCGATATTGTTAAAAAAGCATTTGAAGAAGGTGAGAAAGCAGAAAAAATACAGTTACCATGCTTTCCACCCTATGAATTCAATATCAAAAAGCTTCTGCAGTACTTTCTTAACAAGCAGCATCCACTGAGCGCAGCAGCAGCGGCACCTCCTCTTAATAATCGTAAATCGCGTCTCATCGATTCCAAACGCATTGAAATTATTCAAAAACATCGCGAAGTTCAAGCCATGATATTGTACACTATGGACAATTCCAAATTTCCTTTGCAATGTTTCACTAGAAAACCTCGTCTCAAGCAACAAACGACCAAGTTATTGATTGGTTTGAAATCTATTACATTGAGAGAAATGAATCCAACAAAAGATCATATCTACACCGGATATGTTCTCTCCGTAACAATTATCGAACAAGCATACTCGTGGACACCATCAATTAATCTCGTGATCGAAGATGAAAATCTTGACTGTGAACGCATGTGCGTTTATGGTTTTCTTGAATCACAAGGCGAATATTTCACCAATGACGTTTTTACAATCGGAAGTAAAATGAACATTTTAAGTCCATATTTACGAGTAGCTGCTAATGATATGAAACCCGTAGTTCGTGTGGATGACTTTCTATCGATTATAATGCAAAATGAATCCGAACAAGTGATAGATATGTGTCGCTGTTGTGGTGAATCCAATTCGGCACATGTTTGTGGTAGGTGTAAAGAAGCACGTTACTGTACAAAAGAATGTCAGACAACAGATTGGAAAATATATGGACATAAACTTATATGTAGAAAAAAATAGAACAGTAAGTACTTTTTTAAACTGCATCCAGCATACGGCTGATCAAGTATCTGCAGTTCAGCTAAGAAATGTTTAGCTTTTAAATTAAGTCTCCTAAAGCTTTACTGCGGAACTGAAATATGAAACTAATAAAACAAATTTGATTTGCTTTCCCGTGCACAGCCCACAAAAAAAATCTGACCTTAGAAAGGTCAAATACAGAACAAGCAGTGTCACTGCACTATGAATGAACGAACCGAAGAATATCGAGTTATCGCAATCCATACAGTATTCCTTGGATGACGAACGATATAAAATATACGTGTCAAGTCGCCATCGGAGTAGACTGAGAAACGCATAAGAGTGCAGCAGTAATTTCCAATTGCAACATAATTATGGAGCATTCTCAAAGGAATCAGATTAGTTTTTATTGAGTTGACTTCAACTGATTCTATAAAAAATTAATTTAAAATAGGTGATTGTGAACGATTTTCATAGGAAATCGATTACAGTCGATTGTATTTTCATTGATGGATCATCCTAAAATAATCGATGGTAACTGATTTCATTAAATTGATTTCAGTCGATTTCTTTTTGATGCACCTGTTTTTTAACAAATAGGTTTTTAAGGTTTTCGCGAAATCTCTCTGTGTTCTCATAGATAGTGCATTTTTCACAAAAGAGCGCACTTATTCGTTGAAAAGTGCCTTTAAAAGATTAATTAAAAATTAATTAATTATTGAAATTTTAAAAATATTATTATTAAAAGTTGGTCAAAAATTGCTCCTCAATGCAGGGCCATCCAAAAAGTAGCGATGTGTCGCGACACCGTATAAGGGCATAGCCTTTTATTCTGAGCGGAAGTTAAAATAAGGGAAAGACAACGGAGGACTATAAAGCTGAAAAGAAGGAAGAAATATTTATATTTGAATAGGATAATTCTGGTCATTCATACAGCAAGGAAAGGAATCAAAGCATAAACAAGAACAAAATAACATCTTGCAACGATCATTTGAGCATTTAACTGTGACTGGGCTAGATTTCCAACTGATCGTTTTAGAATAACTGAGAGGAGTTGGAGAAAAGAGTACAACGGCAGAATCTCCTTTTAGGAAAAACTGAAATAATCCGAAAGATACCGGAAATAAACCTTTCTGATGAGAGCGTACCTCTAATCAAGGAATCTGTGAGACCTTTATAGCTGCTTTTGGAAGGCGGTGAGGCCTTCCCTACTTCTTTTTTTCTCTACTCTTGGAGAAAAACACACTATAATTTAACACAAAAAGCCTCAAACTAGAGATTTCATCTTTATTCATGCAGATTGTTCTTTTAGAGCAATAAATATATGTGGTGCTACAGTGGCGTAGCCAGGATTTTTTTAGCACTGGGTGATTTCCCAGCTAAAATGTTTTGACGACCGGGCAACTATGCGCAATGAAAAGATCGACTGGGCCGAAGTTACATTTGACTTTGTAACTTTTCCTTAGCTGATGTATATATAGTGATGAGACACATTGAGCGCTTCCTATCTAACTGTCGAACATGTTTTTTTTCCTTTCATACAATCTTAAGTAGAATAATGTATTTTTACAAAGTTCAGATTTTCGACGATCTCGCTTGTGCTCACCAAGGTATCATTTATTGTACTTAGTTGTTGTGTGAAACAAACGTGTAATTAAAATCCAGCATAGCAGAATCAGTATTTCAGTACTTTACTGCTACTGAAATTCTAAGGAAACATGTTTATCAAGTTTTTTGGCATTGGGCAATTGCCTCCGTTCCGAAATAATCACGGGGCAATGGGATTCATACCACTAGGCAATTGCCCCGTCGCCCCTCCCCTGCCTACGCCATTGTGGTGCTAAGTGAGTAGCGTTCATTCCCATTGAACGTAGCGCCATTAAGCAGTAGTGATCGTTTGAAAGAAAAGACAGCGTTTGTCCTAATTCTTCATGATTTAGAGGTGTTTTAGAGCTGTCTAGCTTTGTAGAATAACTGCAGTCCTCTTTTGTTGCTTGGTTACACAGCAGAGCAGACTTCAAATGGCAATTCCAGAGCACAGAAGCAAAGAAAAAAGAACATATAGTTGAACTATAGCGATCAAATGCACTCAGGTCTTCTCCTCTTCTGATGCTACCGCTTCTCCTTTTTTTATATACACGCGGCAATAGACTATTGGTATGAGGACTGGCGACTAAGTGCATCCGTTGTAGTGTCACTAAAACATATAGGATGTTAAAAATTCGAACTGAAATCCATAGGATTAAAATTTTAGACTTAAATATGCTTAAAACGTTTCATTTCTCCATATTTCTTTGTTATGCTATCTATCTAATCTGGTAGCCAGGTAGTTTTTCTTGTGGCGGTTTTCTAGAAATCCTGCCAAAACCCACGGATGCTCATAAACGTTGAATCCAAACTAACCTGAAACTCGGATTCAGCATGTCATTTTAAGCGTAATTTAGTATATTTTTTGTCGCTGACCGTAGCCAGGTGATAGGATTTTGACGGGGTTTCTAAAAGCGCCGCAAGAAAAATCGCCTGGACAAAGTCAATACCTTGCGACTTTTGTAGTACTAGTCGAGTACTGTGTAGACTAACAAGGTCTCGGAGAACTGACGTGTAGTTGTCGAAGGAGGAGGCCAGGAAGAGTCAATGTAAGTCTCACGGCTGCGCTTACCACGAAGAAGTAAAAAGTGCTAGAAACTTCATTGTCGCGTCATACGAACAAACTTGGAAGCCCCCTTCATTTGAATATAAATAAAGTTACGTTTTGTTGGGTTTTGAGCTCGTTCCAGCACACTATAAGACGAGTGATATCTGCTAATGTAGATAGGATCCTCCAGTCAAAAATTCTTTCGAAATGTCAGACGAGAAACTCTCATTTGTGGATATAAATATGCAACTTTATATGCTCTTTCCAGCTAGTACTATGAGAACGCTTATTAGTATTAGATAAGGTCGGATTTCGCTGTTCTGACACCGTCAAAGACGCTTTAATTCAGAACTTATCGCCGAGGAAAAATCCTGTTCGGAATAATTTTTTCATGGAGCGCCACGGGTCTTTACATACCTTTTGTAGGATTCTCGATTGCATATAATCAAACCTTCCCGACTTTGAGTCTTGTAAACTTATAAAGTGGGCGGACCTGGAAGTACCCATATGCTAAAATTTAGTGACCTAAATCAGTATATATATATATATATATTTTCATAAAAAATGTTTTCCTCTGAGCATTTTTCATCCAATCAAGACATCTTGTCTTTCGTTTTTTTATTGGGAAATTAAATCTTTAAGAATGGTTGAATCATTTTAATGGTGAAGAATTTCAAAATTGATAATACGACTAACACTACCTTATACATAGTGAAGTTAACGAAACTAGTCTCATGTGAAACAGTAGCTTCACTATGTATAAGGTCTTTAGGAATATCACGTATAAACTTTCTAATAATACTAACCATTCTGTTTTGATAATGTTCTAATAAAACTGAATTCATTATGTAACAAATGATAATTACTACAAATTATCAGCGTCCGGAAACCCATTGTATTAATGCCATTCCTTTTATATCGGACCGGTATCACAGAATCCCATTTAGTAAGTAGTCCGGTAAATATTGGTTTCCGATTTGTAATAATTGACAAATGTAATGTTTGAAAATCGCTTCTACGGTCACTGCATCCTTGTAGCTCGGAAGAGCTACGGCGGTGACCCATCTGGTAAATAAATCTGTGATAGTAAGAACATAACGATTTTCAGAAGGAGAACGATTTAACGGTCCAACGTAATCAATTGCAATGATTTGGAATGGTACCGTCTGGTGGTGATATTAGTTTCAAATACCCTGTCTTTTTTGTCTAGATATGTTAAATTGTTGACATTTAGAACAAGATATGATATATCTTTCAACAGAAGATTTCATGTCTGGCCACCAGAACTGATGTTTTCATTTTGCTATGGTACGATAAATAGCAAAATGACCAGAAAGCGAATCATTATGAGATCTTGTTCGATTTTCAGCTATTTGATGTCAAATTTATTAAAACCGAAATCCTGATCAGACGTAGAATTTAAATCGATGGAACCTTGATCCGGAGTGGAATCACTTGTAGATGTTTGAGTAGTTTGCTGTTATTGAGCTCTTTTTGTTTGCAATCTTGTTGTAACTGCTCTGGTCACTGACACCTTTAAAGGCTATGACCTTTCACTAACAGAAATAATAGACGAAGAAGTTGGTGGTTTAACTTGAAGACCATAATCTGGATCAATGAGATCCGGATCATTGAATTCAATTGGATGAGGAGATAAATAGTCTAGTAGATAATTTTTTTCCTTGAATATGGATGATTTGAATAAAATTGAGATTCTGTTGGCCAACGTATTGCGGAGAGTTCTGTTTTGCATTCCGTCCATTGATTGTGATGTTAAAAAGTTTCTTATAATTGATGACTAATCTCCAACTTACATTTCATGTTACTGATACGTTCCATACATTCGACGAAATTACGTCTAAATTAAATGAATATTCATCTGCTACAGGCGCCGTATTTTCCAAAGAGCCATACAACAAAATTAAAATTTGAATCTAAATTAATTTATAAAGCAATTGAATATAATTGTTCTCTTTCAAAACTCTTTCGAAAATCTTTTTGAAGGGTATTCGAGGACAAAATTAAGCTGAACAAAGAAAGGGTATGCGAATAGGAAAAGCGTTCTCGACGGTTAGAAAACCCTCTCGAAAGGTAGTCTCGAAAGCCCAGAAGAGTTTCATATAGTAACATTTTCGAAAGCCATTTATAAGTTTTTTAAAATACTCTTTTTTTTACAGTGTACCGCTATAATCAAGCTATAATCAAGCTATAATCAAAACGATTGAGGTCTGCAATTTAACGCATACGGCATCAGTCATGAACTTGGCTTATGGTTTGTAAAAATCTTAACCGACCATCTAATGTGTATGCCTAATCACTTTCCTAATGGTCAAATTCACTAGAAAATGATGAAAAAATGCACTCC